AGTACAGTAATTCAAATTTGAAAAATAAAGTTTAAAATACGCTTTGAAAGAAGGGCAAGGTCACAATTCATGAAAATACTGTATGTTTCCAACAGCAAGGTCAGATTTTTCTTGAATTTCCAAGGCTTTGAAAATNAGGTCACAATTCTTGAAAATACTGTATGTTTCCAACAGCAAGGTCAGATTTTTCTTGAATTTCCAAGGCTTTGAAAATGTGAAACAAATCATTTTCAATTAGAAGAAGAAAACTATAAAGCTTTAAATGGCTGACGGGAAATTCATTCGAATTTTCCAACTGAATTTCCGAAATCACGAAGGACATTGTTCTATTGACATTGTAAAATACTTGACATTTTGAAGGTGAAACTGTTTTGATGCAATGTTCTCATCCATCCGTTGCATATAATTTAGTAGATTCTCGGTATTTTCTAATATACAGTATATAAAACATGTTTCATGAATTCCGTTCGTCTGCTGCTGTCCCATCATTTCCATGTACAGTACAGTGAATATATAAACAAAGGGATGTTGATATTCGATGAATATTTCATGCCCTGTTGAATGCCAGATGAAAGCTTTTTGATGGAGAGAAAATAAATGGATTTCTCGAGAAATACGGTAGATTACATACTTTGAATGCCTTGTTTTCCATCCGGGTTCAGATCCGCCTTTTGTATTGGCTCTTTTTTTTCCAGAAGCTCAAATTATTCGTTTTTTTTCCCTGAGAACTGAAACAAAACGGTTTTGTTTTTCTCCGGAAAACGGGTTCAGTTCTGTTGACCGGTTTTTGAAAATTTGTTTTCAGATTTGCAAATGAGAGGGAAGGTTTTTTTTATTATTTGAAGGCCAGAGTCGAAGAACTACCTGAGGGGTTCTTTTTTTATTTCCACTTGGAAGCACTTTGTTTTAAAAGAATGCCTCAGGCTTTTTTTTTTCAGGGGAATAAACTTTTTTTTAATGAGAGGGGGGTTTCAAGAAGTTTATTTCTTTATTGCTTCTGTTTGTTGATGAGAATGCCTGTTTGTTTCCACATTTTCCATCATAATTTCCTCCTGGTTTTATTTTGAATTTTTTCCAACTGCCAGAACAGAATATAATCACTCAAAGAATTACCCCAAGAAAATAGTCAGTGAGTTTTATGAGTTAAAATTGAATCACTAAGTTTCTTTTCCAAGTAAAAAAAAAAAACTACTCTTGGGAAGTGGTTGCCAAAGAGCATGACCAATTTTGCAGTGTTTATTCTAAACTAGTTCATAAAGTTCAAAAAAACCAAAATCTGATTTACAATATTTCCATCAAAAACAGAGATAAAAAATAAATGTCAACGTATAACTTGTGTGATGAAAATTTTGCCACCAGCAACTTCAGAAAAATATTCAAGTCTCCAATTTTTTTGTTGGAAAATTTCAATAATGAATCCAAATTCAAAAGACAATTGAAATAAGTATAAGTATATAAACTGGTAATTTTAAAGATATTATTGTTCATGTTGGGTTTTTTCTGTGGAAATTGTAACGGTCAAAATATAATTTATACATTTGAATATAAATTTTTTCTGCATTTTTCAGCTCTGTTGGAAGCGAAGTGACTCAAATATTTTAAATCGTATTCCAATGTTTCTCAGAAAGGCAGTTGTCATGTTGTTTTTTCTAATGAGGAATTTTAATGAGTTTTTAATTTCATCACTGCTGGAAAATTTCGGAGGATTCAAAATTCAGTTGTTATCTGAAGAATGAGGATTATTTTTTTTATTCGTCCGATAACCTTCTGAAAACTCCACTGCTTCTCATTCTCATTTATTTATTTTTTATTTCGAGAATTGAATTCTTAGGCATTGAGATTTTAATGGGTTTCCGCCATCTTTACCCGGGTTCACTACTTACCATCTCAATTGCTTGACGTCTTGCATTCTTTGTAAGAATGCAAATCGATTTTGTTGAAAGGTGTGTCTTGAATCCTTTACTCCATTCATTTTAGAAGGGGAAGTCTTTCAAATTTGGGTTCCCAAGGGATTCGATTGGAAATTAAATTTTGTTTCTACTTCATTTCAACTGAATTAAATAAGGATTTGCCCTCTGGAGATGAATACTTTCTGCAAACTAGTACTTAAATAAAATTATTAATGTCAAAGAAAACAATAAAAATAGCCGGGGCTTTTTTCCCATGAAAAGAAGAGCCTTTTTGTGGATAAATAATCCTATCAAGAGATGGAGTTATTTTTGAATCATGCCCTTGAGGAGAAAATAAGGNAAAGTGAAGTTATTTTGGATGAGTGCCCAAGAAAGTTAATAGTAAGGACAAGTTTTTTTTTATCCTCTTGATTTATTCCTGCTGCCTTCAGTGTTTGTGTGTGTGTGTGTATGATGTTTCTTTGTTGAGCAAACCACGTCATCCAGTCATTGTTTGTATAGTGTCTATATTGGACTCAAAAAAACTTGGACTATTTGCTCAGCATCTATCTTCTGCACAACATGGGGTTTTGGAAGCGACAACTGGAATGTGAAGGAAACTCTTTCTCACTCTTATTCAGGCCTCCTTCTGATGGACTGAATTATTTCCAGGAAAAAAAAAATGTGTGCAAAATTTTTGCATTCCTGTAATAGTGCATGCTGAGGAATTATATAGGAAGAAGAAATGGGACAGAACCTGGCACAGATTCCAGACTTCCTGCTTTTCTGTGTCTAATATACAGTCTTCCTGTTCCTGTGTGTGTGACAGCACTGAAAAGGGGGCGTTTCCACAAAGTTTCTGCGCAGTTTCATTCCCTATATACTGATGCGAAACTTTTTCCAAAAATAAATTGGGTCAGGTTGTTTTTTGTTGTTGTTGTGAATTTTGATGAAGGAATAATTATTTGTGGAGTTACACACACACACACACACACACACACACTGATGATGATGAGGACTTTTGTGGGAATGGGATGATTTGTTTTGATCTGGGACACGTATATGAATCCGAGGCATTCCTGAGTGTGTCACAGTCTTGGTCCCACAGTCTGGAAGCGTCTCACTGAGGAATTCCTTCCAAGAATTTCCTGCTTTGTTTTTTTGTTGGTTTTCTTTTTTTTTCAATTCCTCCAACATTTGAGAGAAAATTGGAGGAAATGTGTGTGTGTGTGTTTTTTTATTACAGTACCATATTTCATCAAGTTCAAATGAGCTGTGACAAAATTGTTTTCTATTATTTAAGTCAGAATAAGCTAAATTTGCAACCATTTTCTCTGCATTTCTTGCTTCAAAGAACTGCAATTGTGAACCACTTCTCTTGAAAAGTTGCCTTAAAATATGAAACATGTTGATGGATTGCTGATTTTGTCTCTAAGTTTTTGACTTTTGGTCTGATTCATGTACTGAGCTGTATATTTTAGCCAAGAAGAAATGGTTTCCTGGCCTAATATTATTAAAAGTGCTCCATGTTCAAAGATGTTGTACTGTACCTAGATAATTCCTTGAGGGAATAATTTGAATCTGAAATAACAGGTGTTAAAAAATTTAATTTCACATTTATAGCATTCCAAAGACCTTTGACAATTTGGCTCAAGGGATGTTCTAAGGCATGAAAAGAATTGGGTTTTGAGAATATTTGCCAGGGATCCATTGGAAATTCGAATAAGAAAAACGTTTTTCTTAAGTCCACAGCAGTTCATATTACCCTCAATGTAAAAAAAAAAAAGGTGAAGAAGTTCATCAATTTTTTCCATGTCCTTCAATTTTGGCAATTCTTTGCTGTACAGAACTGGAATTGTGAACCAATGTCTTCAAGTGCAAAAACACCATATATTTATATTTGAATCAAGTGTATTGACATGATTAACTTTAGCATATGTATATATATGAAGTCTTGCATCTGAAGAAGAGGAACCATTCTGTATGGTTTGTGCCAAAAAAAAAGTGCTCAAGTTCAGTATATACATTGATGAAAAGGGGGTTTTTTCAAGGTCTCTTGTGAGCCAGGAATAAACCCTTCATCCTCTTTGTCTCATCACCAGCTTTTGATGGATGTTTTATGCCAATATTTGGCACCTTTTTCTCCCTGCTGTTCAAGTATATATATATATATATATATATATATATATATATATATAT